GTTTGATTTACATACGTATGGAAGCATGAAATGGAGTACTTAAAAGGCAGAGCGGGTGCACACCTTTGATTAAACTATCGCAATGTTGTTCGATTGTCAATTGTTTTCGAGCTAATTTAACTGTTTAGTTGCACAACTAAAAATCGAGTAGCGCACCTCCATATAATTATAGGAATTAAAGCGGGACTAAACAGTTGTGCGATAGTTTAGTCAAAGGTGAACACGCTCTATAATACGCGGATATACACGCTATTTTACTAACTGTAATTAGTATGTTCTACTACACTCCCTAGCTTTATTTTATTAAAAAAATATATGTCACATTACACTATTTTCTTTTAATGTTTTTTTATTCATCATCATCATCATCATCATCTCCCCTGCCTTATCCTACTCCCGTAGGGTCGGCGCACTAGGTTTTCGTCCTCCAAATAACTCTATCATCCGTCATCTCAGTCATCACTCCCTTCTTGATCGTGTCACCTTTCACGCAATCCATCCATCTCTCTCTATGTCTACCTCTACCGGTGTACCCCTCCACATTCATAACTAACGTCCGCCTTGTAATGTTTTTTTATTAATAGAGTTAATAGACATCAGGGAAACAGTTAATTAATCATTATTAAAAATAGCTTTCGCCCGCGTATCCGTTTGCGTCGAATTAAAAAAACAAAAGTATGTAGCCTATGTGTTCTTCCAGACTATGCTCTAAATCTCTACAATCATCGAGATCCGTTCAGTCCGGCTAAACTCTAACAAACAGCCATCCATCGAAACGCATTTATAATATTAGTAAGATTAAAATATCATAGATGTATAAACTTAATAATAATAGCTTATTGACTATTTTTAGTAACGTTATTGTAATAATTAAGAGTTATATACTCTGTAGAGTAACAGTTAACAGTGGTAGTGCCCGCTTTAACATCTTAGCACTGCAGGCCGGCACGCCCGGTGTAATACCACGACCACACAGAAGACAGGCGTGAAATGGAAACAATTCCGTGTTTCGTCTGATGAGTGTGGTGCCGGAGGCCTAATTTAAGTCCCTTTCTCTTTACCACTCTTTTCTTATAAAGAGAGGATGGGATGTGGAAGTTGATTTGACGGTGGAGGAGATGCATAGGAAAGGGAAATATCTTTATGTGTGTCTCCTTCGTCGTATAAGGGTAGGCAATGCATCTGCAATTGCGGATGTCTATGGGCAGGGATTGTTTCGCCATTTTGGCGGATTTAGGTGGCCGCTTGCTAGTTTTCCACCTTATGTTATAAAAAAAAGAGTCACGTGCTCGCCTACTAAGCAATCGCATTTCTCATTATAATATTTTTTTATTCAAATTCCGACCACCCAACCGGATCCTAACTGTACCAGTCGGTGTTAAAATGACAATATGTTTACGATAATGATTTCTATGAAACTCGTCATATTTACGTAACGTGTATTTTTAATACAGTTATAGGAATCATCGCTACCATTTGCTTTAGAATTAATTAGATTTCTTAGTTTAAACGGTTATAATAATATGTCGGACATGCGTAAGTTTAGATGGATGTTTGTTAGAGTTTGTAGCCTAAACTGATAGACGGATGTAGATGAAATTTGGCATAGATGTAGAGGATAGTCTAGAACACAAAGGAACACACACTTTTGTTTTTCAATTCCACGCGGATGTAGTCGCGCGTCAAAGCTAGTAGGCAATAAAGACTTCCTTAAACAATGATCAGGCGCTTATCTTATTCTAAAGGACCACAACTTTGATCAGATCACCATCTTGTAAGCATGCAAGCCATGTACATCGCCGCTATTAAATAATCTTTCCACCGCATTAAGAGTATTTTAATAGTCCTTAAGCGTGTCCCTAAGTAGAAATGGTTTTATAAAGTACATAACGTCTGTTTAAATATCGATGCAAAAATCTACTTAAGTCCTATCGGACCCCATCGTTTTGGACTTAAAAGGCCTGTCCCACCACTGGCTGATAGAGGCTCAGATAGCTTATAAATGACGTCACTGTCAAAGGAACAAAATGCAATATTTCTAACAAATATTTTACACGTCCGATTGTTATCTGACAATTTGGCGGGACAGGCCCTTACTAATCAAAGTTTAAAAATTTAATAACGCATTGTTACAGAAACCTGTTATAACAATGCATCATAAATTCACATTTAATACAGATCCAATCCCACCCACTCGTGTTAATCACCCCGAGACCAAAAGTCAATACACTTGAAGCCAAAAAAACTGGCGTCCTGACCATTGTATGAAGTCATCATTCGATTAGTGTTCTTACATATAAACTTATGTATTTACGTATTACATACGCGAATAATGATTAAATTTATGCATTCAATTAATATTTACATAGAATACTAGCTGTTTGCGTACGGATTCAGCCGCGTGAAATTATAAAAACTTTATTTTATTGTTTACATTTGTCAAATAATCAATAGCAAATGTTAAAATGACATGACATGACAAACCTTAGCAATCTTTCTTTCTTGATGTTGGCAGCAACTTTTGGTCTCTTTCCCACGTGGGCGTTTTTATCCAAAATATTTACCCCCTAAGTTTAAATGCGTAAAATAGATAGCCTAAAGCATGACATAAGGGTAGGGATTTTTATTTAAAAAAAAATTATTCAAAAATATGCTGTAATTGTTGACTTCTTAGGTAACAAAGAAGTGTGTGTTTACGCTTTATTATAATAGTATAGATTATATTAACTTCCAATGATATAGAGTATTTACTACGACGTAGTTATTATTACATTTTTGCTGCATCTCGTGTTAAACAATTAAAAAAAAAATTAATCTGAGCTCCTTATTACTAACTAAATATTATCACTATAATAAACCCAGACAATACGTTAGGTAGTTAGTTAAAATTTGTCACTTTTACATGTCATCGAGAATTTTCTTTTATTAAATTAAATGGAGCATAACTGGTACTTTTTATAGTTATTTCTACGTAAAACAGTTCGCACTTACCTCATTAAGAGGATAAAATCATAAGAATATTAATGCTTGCGTCAACATCCTGCGCAGTTGTCTTTACATCCTATAATTTACAACATTGCAAAACAAGACCAACGAATTGATCCTAACGATGTAATTAACGAAGGCTTCCGTTTAAACTTGTCTCAAAACCAGATCTCAGAATTATGTATAGGACTTTATTTACAAAACTAGCTGTTCCCGTGCCTTCATCCGCATGAAATTATGAAAATTTTATTTTAATGTTTACATTTCTCAAATTATTAATAGCAAATGTAAAATGACATGACATGATAAACCTTGACAATCTTACTTTTTTAATGTTGGCAGCAACTTTTGGTCTCTTTCCCACATTAGGGATTTTATCCAAAATATTTACCCCCTAAATTTAATGGTGTAGCCTAAAGCATGACGTAAGTGTTGGGCTTTTTATTTAAAAAGAAATATTAAAAAATATGCTGTACTTGCTGACATCTTAGGCAAAAAAGTAGTTTGTGTTTACTCTTTATTATAATATTATAGATAATCCAGATTTAACACTTTGCACGCCAACACGCCTGGTGAGCTCCATTTCCTAGTAGCGGGGAACGTGTTAAGATCCGATATGAAAGACATTTAACGTATAATCTCAAAGATAAACATTAACGGAAAACTATTCGTACGGTGTATATATGGATCGTTAACTCGATACGCTTAACTGGTTAAAACATACTGGATAAAACTAAGACACGAACAATTAAAACCAAACCAAAACTAGCTGTTTAAGACTTCATCCGCGTGGTGATATAAAGAAAGTAAAAAATATAGCCTATAGACTCAGCGACAATATATCTTTAAGGGTGAAAGAATTTTTGGAATCGGCCCAGTAGTTTTTGAGTTATGTCAAAACATACAAAAATACGAAAATGCAAATCTTTCCATAACGATAATAGATTAAACAAGCTACCTAACAATCTTTTACAATCATATAAAAAGAAAAAATATGATAAAAATAATATATAAAACAAATTCACGGAAACGCGGGCTTAAAATAAAGATGATTGAATTACCATGACGTGTTCTAACGACATCACAAAAAGTCACAGAATCCGTTTAACTTCTAAACTAAATATATCAAGCGTATTTATAAGCAAATACTACTAGGATGTAAAGGACATGTATTTTTTTAATAAAAATGATTATTCATAACTTATAAGGCTGTCTGGTACTCATGACCTCACAGTGGGTTTGCCCTTCTCAAATTTATGTAAGAAAAATAAGCTATCACTCTCTGAAAATAGAAAAAAAGGCATGATATGTGTTTTTGTAGAGATGTGGAACGCAGTAAAGATCGTATCAAAACAAATGACGACATCGCGTCGAATTTTCAATATTCAAACTAAATAAAAACGTACACGAAAATATATCATGTTTTTCTATAACAGCCAGATTCTTTACAAACGACACAAGCTACAAAAACATATTTTGACATTATGATTAATGTTGCCTTACCCGGTATCACTAATGAACATTTTTTTCGTATTTCTAAACAACATTCTGACTTTTTGCATAGTATTAATTCGTTGGATTAAAAACCCACGTGCAAACGTTATTATTAGAGTGTATGAATGTAAAAGAATTATCGTCATCTCTTTCATTCTCTCTAAAAAGGACACAGACAACAACATATCATCTATATTACCCACGGTTATTATGGTCGTACGTAGCTTAACCTGTAGTTTTATACACTGCATATAGAAATTGAATTCTCATAAACACTTTTAACAAAACCCTAAACTTACAACTAAAATTATTTAACAGCTGCAATTAACGTTAAAAAACTAATTGTTAATTTAATTTTTCATTACAAAACATGGTAGTAGTAGTAAAAACCTTTTCTTTCATTTCCTCTCTTTTTAATCTGTTTAGAAAATCTCTTATTTAACTTATCTAGAAATAACTTATGTCAAAAATATTTTCTAAACAGGAAATAACAGTTAATTACAATAAACTTTATTTTACAGGTAAACCCCGTGAGCGGGTTGCCTCATCAGAACATCAATCACCGTCTATTCGAAAAGAACCATTCACTCATCTCTCTGAAAAAGAACTTATAGAAGAAGCTAATAGAGTACTCGCTCAAGCTAAAAGCGTTACATGCACTACTGATCAATCACCAGAAAAATTCTTCTCTCTACCATACAGAAGGAAATTTAAGGAAGAAAGATCTGGCAGAAGGAATAGTGACGACGCAGGATCACCAGAGGGTACAGTCAAATCACCTCTTGGTAGATCAACAAGTGATGTAACAGCAAAGAAAAGAAAAGAACGAACCTCACTTTCCACTCTCTTTAGAAGAGCACAAAGAAATAAAAGCCCAGATGCACCAGTTGTTGTTACTACGAAGCCAGTGGTTGTAGTAAAACGTAGCAAAAGCGACGTATCTGATTTAAAATCGAACACGACTTTGAATAGTCAGAACAAACCTATTCGGAAAAGGTCTGGCAGCGAAACTGAAGAATTCCTCAAATCTCTAAGAAATAAAAAGACACAACTGTCACCCATTATTGAAAGTTCACCGAGAGAAGACTATTTCAAAAAGACACCGCCTTTAGAGGTTTTTCAAAAAGAAAAATTAAAACAAAAGAACTCCAGTAAATCTGAAGATCATAAAAATATAACCACAGATATTAAAAAAGTTAACCCTGTAGAAAAACCGCCAAGGTATAAAACTCCTGAAAAACCAGATTTAAAATCGTCATCTAAATTAAAAAAGGGAAAATCGATTGAAAAAAGTACTTCTCCTATTATAACAGACACACCGAAACGTAAAACTGAAATTAAAAAGACCACATTATTTGACGAAGTTGATTCATCGAAAAAGCAGGATATCAATCAGAAAGAAACAAAAGAGCAAACTAATAAAATCACTTCGACACAAAACATTGATGTGACCGTCAATGGTGAGAAGGAAATGAAACATAGTAGTCAACAACCACCGGAAAAACCACCACTAACACGAGGTCAAACTGTCGATCAACTTGTAAAGATTTTAAAGGAGGATCAGGATTCTCCACCACCGAAAGCACACTTGATAGCACCGGTTAACGGAAGCAATATAAACCAACCATTTTCCTATACTAAGCCCAGTGCAAGTCCTGACCCTAATCTATTTGTAAGAACTACAAGTCCCGACAGAGTACCAACTCCCGTTAACACAGCGGAAAAAAGTATAGTCTATGCACAAGTTGTAAAAGACACAAAAGAAACGATGCCAACCTTTGGTAAAGCAAAGGTATACTCTCCTCGAGTGGAGAAACATGGAAGTTACTCAGACGAGGACGAGGGCTTGGGTTACGAAGAAAGGTACAAATATTCATTGGATCGTAGCTACGACTATAAATACAAAAATAATGATAATGATAATATAGTAACATCCACACCCAGGTATAGGGAATATAAATTAACAAATTTTGAAGAGCCCGAGCCAACTTATGCTAATGAATATCCCAGCAAAGATGTACAAAATAATTTCGACAGTTATAGAGGTAGAGGCGATGGCATGGACACTAAGCGAAAACAAACAGAACCCGAACTTACTAAAGTCGATTTGGACTTCAACGAACTCAGTCACCGACGACAACTATTAGAATCACGTTTGAACGCTAGGCGGTTAGATCGTGGAAAAGTGAACACAGACGAAACTTTTACTAAATTCATTATGGAAAATGATCCCATATATGAAGCGGAAAAGCGCATGAAAGCGACAGAAAAATATGTAAACGAGACAGCCAGATATTACCGGCATACATTAGAGAGAGATGGTTACGTAGAAAGCAATGTTACTGAAGATTTTAATAAATATGATTCAGATAAGCATAACATTAAGTACAACACGGAAAGTAGAACTGTCCAAAAATCTCACAAAGATGTCGACCGACATGTGTTTGACAGAAGTCCAGAACCAAAGTACAAAGAAGAGAGAAAAGTGTTCCCACCGGAGCCAGAATATGAACCACCCAGTCTTGAATCAAACCCTCGTAAACCAATACATTCACCTGATGAATATATTGAGAAAAAGTATCGAGCTAAGAAACATTTCACTTCTAGTCATGATCTTTTACAAACTGGACAAAAATACAAAGGTAAAGAGGAATGGTTCGGTAAAAGGAAAGGACATTATGCGTCAAATCCAGAAATAGCTCAAGAGCGTGATGACGATTATGCAAATCTTCGATACAATGGAAAAAATAGTGATTCATATCACAACTCTTTACGTCGCGTTAAAAACAAAGACAAACAATATAAAGAGGACTTCGGAATACGTCGTCATGATTCCGGAGATAGCCGAGACTATTATAGAGAAGAACGATCACCGCGTAGATTCGACTTTGATAATCGATTAGTAGATTCAGGTATCGAAAACGACTTCCGAAAAGATTCCAGCGGAGAAATACATAGAAGGCACAGGAGACACGAAAGTGATGAAGATGTTCACAACACATCATTGTTCTTGGCAAGTGAAAGACGACATACCGAGGATAATTATCCAAGTGAGCAGATTTATGCTAATGGAGAATATTTGGCTTCTTTCAAAGAATATAAACCAGATAGAAAAGAATATGTGTCTAGAGAACGCAGCGGTGACGATGGATCCAATTTTGAATCGAAACATAGATATGAGAAAAGCCCCAGTAGACACGGCGAAAAAGTCAGTGCGAAACCACCTAAAGCTACAAAGAAGCTTTCTGGACTTGAAAAAGTACGTGTTACATGTTTTAAGTTTAAGTAAAAATGTTACGAATTAATAAATATTGAATTTAATTATTTTTCAGGTTAAGCAACTGTTCTCTCGCGACTCTTCAAAGAAGAGCAAGAAAGAGAAAGACGTAGTCCAGCCAAAGAGCCGCACTCGGGTACTCAAGAGCCCTGAACATCTTGCCAGAGACGATTCCGAGTATAGAAGGTATGGCACTACTAACTTTTAGTTTACTTTTTATATTTTAATTGATTGTTATTACAATTAAACTTTCCTTCAGGTACACTGACCCTGAACCGAGTGATATAGATGTAAGGAAGCGGGACTATGAACCTAAAGAAATAGAAAGAAGATACAAAAACTCTAGAGAAGATCTAGATAAATATACTAGAAGTGAACCTCGAGAGAATAATGATAAAAAGTACAGAAACACAGAGTATGAAGGAAGGTAAGAATCTCAAATTTATTATAGAAAAGTTAACTATTCAAAATATTTGTCAAAATCTTCAAATCTTTTTACAGGTATGACAGAACACTAAAAGGAGACAGAAGATATAAGAATCACGAAGAAGAAAAGAGACGGTATAACTCGTCAGACAGGGAGAGTGATCGCCAATCAAGACCGTCTGATATTGAGACTGACAGAAGAAAAACTAGATCAAGAACTGCTGGACCACTTGATTCTCCTGCTTTGGTGAGTTTATTTTGCAGATAAGATATGCATGCATATATTTACATCATCAGTACCAGCTCTTGTCACACCAGTAAGCTGTCGTCATTACATCCAAGCTGCATTTATTGGGCTTTTTACTACTTGGACAAAGCAACCGTGGTACTGGATTAGAGAACCGAGGTACTTAATATCGGAGCAGGTCGGTAGAGGCACACCATTTAAGGCGATTTGAGAGAAACTAGTCAAATTTCCTTTGCAAAAAAAATGTCTATTCTGTTCTACTTCAATTTTACTTGTACTAGATTTTTTATACAAATATAAAACAAGATTTCAAGAGAAATCACGATAATTCAAATAAATACAATAATTAAAAAAAAGAACCTCAAGTATTTATCCAAATTTAGGACACCAACTAAAATAAATGCAATAGAGTAACATTCAAAGTTATTTAAAATGCAATCGACGTTCAAATGTAGACCAACGAACTTAAGTTATCGCAACTTGGGACAAACTTGTTCGTAAATTAAACACTAGCCTACCAACTAGGTTTCCTAACTAAACGTTATTTAGACTAAACTTGTACTGAATACGACTACAAATTTGCTAACAATTGCAATAAAACATACAAGAATTATATCACAAGGAAATTGAAAATGTAGTTTTTAATATAAGTGTAATTAAAAAAAATAGATAACTAACAGACTAAATTGACAGTCTAGACTATAAACTGACTGGAAACCTAGCTTCAAATAAAAACGTTTTTATGTACTGGCTATTGCTTGCGCTTTAGCCTGCGTGGAAATAAAAAATAATAAAAAATTTTACTCATTGATAGCGTAGCTTTTTGGTGAAAGAATTTTTGGAATCGGCCCAATAGCTTTAGAGTTACTTCAATAAATACAAATCTTTCTTCTTTATAATATTTTTTTATGTATGAAGTCACTAATTAAAATTCGACCACAATCTATTTAAGCTCTAATTTATTAGAATTCTCTGTATAAAAGTGTATTCTCATACCTTTTTCGTAAAATTAAAAATGAAAAATGTATAGTTAGTATTATTTTTTTATCGATTATGGTTTAAATGTAATTTATAACTTGAAACTTCATTTGCCTCATGATGATCTGTTACAATCACTTCTAACCTATCGAAGAATTCGTTCCAAAGGTCAAAGTAACGCAATGCTTACAATTTAAATTGTCAGTACGTGAAGATAATTTGTAACAATAAAGTTATAAATTGATCGTGCACTTATCAAGCACATTTTATATCACAAATCATAATGTTAATTAACAGAATTTTAACGTCTAATATCATTAATAAGAGATACGACTAAATAATAATTAATCATACTTCATACTAATATTCTAAATGCGAAAGTTTAGATGGATGGATGTTTGTTAGAGTTTGTAGCCTAAACGGCTGAACGGATTTTGATGAAATTTAGTATAGATGTAGAGGATAGTCTGGAAGAACACATAGTCTACCCATTTTTGGTTAATTTTTTTTAATTCCACGCGGACGGAGTCGCGGGCGAAAACTAGTGGTTCATAATTATCATTAGCGATGATAGACTTTTAGATCTTAGAGCGGATTTCCGATGCTTTTTTTAGATAAATTAGTTTTAACACGTTTAGAATTTTTAAGATATACCAATTATAAATGACTAGCTTTCGCCCGCGACTCCATCCGTGTAAAAGAAAACAAAATCAAGTAGCCTCGTGTTCTTCCAGGATACCCTCTACAACTATGCCAAATTTCATTGAGATCCACTCAGAAGTTTAGGCTACAGACTCTAACAAAACAATATGTTACTATACGTGAATATACATTTCAAAAGAATGCACTAGAATGTATGTTTGTTTGGACTGATTGTCAATTTTTTAGGACATCAAGTGATAAGATTTCGCGGATTTATTGTATCACATTCGTTCTCCGATTCATCAAGCAAACCTTAATATTACTTACTTATACTTGTCTTATTAATATTAAAAATACGAATAAAAATGGATATTCGGATGTTTGTTACTACGTAATCTCTAAAACAGTTCACGATATAATTTAGCACTTATGTAAAACTGTAGTTTGGAGTAACTCGTAAAGTACTTACTTAGCTTTTAATTCCGCGTAAACGAAGAGGCTTTAAAACTACTTGATCAAAAGAAAAACACTCAAAATTTACCTACAATTTTCTACTGACATAAGTGAAAATACATTTAACGAAAATACGTTCATTCTTGTTCTTTCAACATCTTAAATCCTTCTTCTAAGTATTTCCATACAAAAGACTTCAACGTCACAAGTTCCTTCGACCGCTGTCCATCTTTAACTTGCACCTGTTGCAACAAAAGTGAAAGTCAAAACGCACTAGTCGATACAGCCTCGCCGGGATTACACACCTTACCATTTCCGCGTTGTTCTTAAAATGTCAGTGTCAATATACTGTTTGCTTTTGTTTGTATAGCTTCGTGCTGTGAATAAATTAATCTAATTGAAGATTCTTTATATTTTAAACAAGGGTTTCCACTGGCGAAACATTTGCACAGATAGTCATCCTTCTTATTTAAAAATTTTAAGGTTGCAACCTACATTTGTAATATCATAATACTATCTTTCGCCCGCAACTCCGTCTGCGTGGAATTCAAAAAACAAAAGAGCTTATGTGTTCTTCCATCTATACTCTACATCTATACCAAATTCCATCGAGATCCGTTTAGTCCCTATATACAAAATAAACTAAAAAAAAAAACAACATTGAATTATTCCAGTTTCTTGTGTACATTTTCACTTATACAAGTTCGTTGTTGAATAACATAACATTAAAATTGTTACACTCAATGATGACTTACACTAAGGTCTTGTCTAAATCACCTACACAAATGAGGTATTGGTATTGCCAAAATCGTAATCGTCGATATATCAAAACCCACGTGTGAATTTGTCGGATTGTGAAAATAACGAGAAGCTATTTTCACAACTATCGAGTGGGTCGATTCCGAAAGCGTCATTTTATTGCATATTGAATAAATAAATAGACAGGTGTTCAAACTAAATAAACATTTTAACGCTCAAGAGGTCTTAAGGAGATGCCACACTAGCAGCGCCGGAAAGCATGATGCCCATAACTGTTTTATTAAATGCTAGCGATGATTTGTACAACACAGTCATAACGTTACTAGCAGCACATAAAGTCATTTATTGAGACGTGAGGGATATATTAAGTGTATATTTCTTATACTAAATCTACATAAAAAGAAACCTCCCAAAGGCATGCGGCATTTGTTGGTTATATAAAAATGATTGCTATAAAATAACTGAACTATCTATTTGACAGTGTGTGGTACCATTCTTTATTGTAAATAATCGCTGCCGCACCACCCGTGTGGCATTTCTCTTACAATTTAAATTAACTCGGTAGTTACAGAGAAAAATAAATTTAATCTAAATATTCTAAAATATTATTCACACATTTCTTATATTAAAGACAATTGTATATTTTTAATGTGGCTCATATAACAGCGAAGAGTTTTTCTGATGTCATCAAATGTTATTGAACCCTGTTAACTTAACAATAAACATGTCAGGGCCTTCAAGATTAACATTAAATACACCATGACTTAAGAGTTTAATACAGATTAAAAATGCCATAATATTTTATACTCTGTCGAGAATTCCCGACTTAAAATTAAGGAAATCTCAAAGTTTTTATGTAGCAAATTGAAATTCATTGCAATGATAGTAAATAGAATTGTTATGAAAAGTGAGAATTGGGAATTCCAAAAACCTCACAAATGTAATTGAGTTTTCATAAAACATTTTGTGTTTTGATTTTAATTACAAATCTATACTATTATAATAAAGCGTAAACACACTTCTTTGTTACACACATTTTTGAATATTTTTTTTTATTAAAAAGCCCTACACTTATAAGTCACGCTTTAAGTTATATATTTTTACGCCATTAAACTTACGGGGTAAATGTTTTGGATAAAACCCTAAAGTGGAAAGAGACCATAAGTTGCTGCCAACATCAAGGAAGCAAGATTACCAAGGTTTGTCAAATGATTTTTGACAAATGTAAACAATAAATAAGATTTTCATAATTTTATGCGAATGAAGCCGCACGAGAACAGCTAGTATTATTATAAAGCTGTAATCTATACAAAAACAAACAGAACTTATAATTCTTATTAATAATTTTATTGAAAAATTAATAGTCCGAAAACCGAAAACTAAATAATCTCGTAAAATATGACAAAGATGTCGACACTTCCGCGAGTATTATAGATTTGTTTATATTTGTGTAAAAAGTAAAAACTCGTATCTGATGTCATCTATTCAAATAGATGCAGCTTATTTGATTATAAATTCTAGATATAATAGGCTTGTTTTTTTACAATTTTTAATGCCAAGTTCATATAAAAATTGAATGTCAAATTTTGACAAAGATCTATCAAATACGTTCAATGGTAATCAATCAATCGAAAAAAACATAAATTCCAAATACGGATAACTACGGATTCCTGGTAACATTAGCTAAAAAACATCGCCACGATTGGTATACTTCGCCACTCAGTGGAACCAGCCACTAATAATGCAAACACTTAACAGTCCTGCAGGAAATGCTGTCGTGCTATCTGATATGCAATACTATGTTTAATTAATTACATTGTAATTAATTCTCGTACTCATTATCAGTCTCTACGTAGAGCGAACTGCAAATACTCAGGAAGTAAAGTGTTTTTAAAAACATTGTTATTTACACGAAATATAGTTAGATAGATAAAAAAAAGATTATAGTTGAGCAAGTGGACACCAGAATTCGCCAAACAGTGATGCAACTGCTGCCCATAGAGATCCGCATTGGCAGATGCCTTGTCTATCTTTAATCAACAAAGAAGAGGACATACAGAATGAGGATATTTCCTCTATCTAGTGACAACCAAAACCTTCCCCTTACCTTGTGCGAAAAAAATTAGGCTTTCAGCACGTAGCCTTACCAAACAAATTAACTCGTGTCT